TAACCATAATGCCTTGGTCATTATGGCACTTGATCATTATGGCACTTTGAAAGAAAACAAGTTTTACAGAAATTGGAGACTTTCTCTGTTACTTCCTCATTGTAAATCTAAAAATAAAGACACTGTGCTAAAAACAATGGTATTCAGTTTTCATTCTAAAAGAATGTGAAACTGGTAGGTTACTACATACAAAAAAGTTAAAAAAATATGTAACTGGGCAGCTTAACTTCAAAATGCATTTTCAATGTTTCTTTTTCTTTCTCTTGCGTTTCAAGATATAACCTTGAGGCAAGCTGCAGAAGCCTTTCCTTAGCCTTAAGAAAGACTCCACATTTCTCCCTTTCTCACGGTATATACTCCCTTCATATCTATCTAACCCTGTGCTAGTATCTAATTATATGCCTTCTTAGAAGTTACAGGAGCTAATCCTGAGACAGAAAGACCAAGTCTGGAGACCCAGCTACAAAATTCTAGAGATTAATCCAAGGACACTAGTTAACAACCCAGCCATTGTTGAAGTGACATCAACGCACACTCCAGGTGGACTGGGACCCAAGTTAGCCACCAGAACAAGACACACAGACATCGTACTTGGCCCAATTCTTGCATGCCTTCTTTATCTAGTTTTCCCTTTTTAAGCCCCTGCCTTCCACCAACCCCCGCCCCAAATCAGAGAAGTTACTGTGTATAGGAATCTGGCTGCTTCCCCCTTTTTAGTAGTTTTGGTTAATAAAGTCACTGTCTTTATCAGACCTTGCTCTTGTTAATTGGACTATACAAGCAGAGAGCATCTAGACTTGCATTCAGTTACAAATATACAATGTGTATACGTGGTCACAATGGTATTGAAACATTCTAATAATTAGTGGAGCTCATTCTTTTTATGTTGCCTCAATTAGCCATGGGCTTCGGAGAAGCACATAGAATGTTTACTTAGGGATGCCATATTTTATTTTGTGCCACTGACTATTTAAAATTTAAATTACCCAGACTTGTGTATTATATCCCCTTGCTCCCCCATCACCACCACCAAGACTATATAGCTCCCTGAGGATAGGAACCATCCCTCACCTACTCTCTATAAACCATATAGAAGCTCAACAAAACCTGTGATGATCTGTTCTCAGCAGAAGGTAACTCCTTCCTTGATTCCTTGTTGTGTTGAGTGTCAGCACTAGCCCTTTAAGATTTTTTAGCACATTCTCACTCCTCTAAATATTTCAAGCCCTTGGGGAATTAAAAAAAATTCAAAAAATAGCTGGGATCCATGTCCTTAATAACAAAACTAAAAGCTAGCCATAGGTAGACACATATTAATCAAGCTAAATTATAGTATGGCCATTTTTATTCTAGTACAATTATCTTTGGCTTTAAGACAAAAATGAATCATTAGGGTTCTGCATGCCTTCTGGCAAAGAAATAAAAAACAGTGTGAGCTGAATGCTCAACATTGTGAGTGTCATTAGAACAAGTTCTATAGATATGAATTTCCCAAGTTAATCCTCCTTCATTATCTTCATTAACCAACAATGCACATGGAGTCACTGCCCATAATTATTGCCCTAACAGACATGGATGTTTGAAATATTCACTTTCCCACAGACTCCAAACCTTCAGTAAGCAGCTTTTGATGATTCATTATATTAATAATACATATCATCATACTCCTCTTAAATATGCATGAGATTAAAAACCATCCATGTTGCAAACCTTCCAATATCATTTTTAGTATAATTTGTTACCTCTGAGATACTGTAATTGTAACAGCACCCAGGTACCACTGTAATAAAGATAAGTTTAATCATCTGGTTTGTAAGTAACCAGTATTATAACTTTTTTATTCCACTGTTAACATGCATTCAAGTGAGAATATTTCATAACACAAAGTATAATACTTTTTAAAGTATATACATTTTTACCCATTAATTCTTTCCCAGGAAGTCACTGCCACCATCAATTTGTGTTTATCTTTCTCATGCTTGCTTTACTGCTCTTACTACATATGTATGCATCTATAAATAAATTATAGATGATAAAAAATAATATGTTTAATGCACAGGATAACCTAATTTAAAATTGCACAAAAAGAGTAAATTAATTTTGACAGATATTTTATAGACAAATGAATAATTCAAAATTGAAATTTATCAAGAAATTAGCATGCAATATACTGATGCCTATTAAAAAGTACACTGTAAATCACTATATGGAGAATTATGATGTCCTATTTCTAATCACATATTTTATAAACTTTTATAAATTCTGAGTTTATTCAATTTTTTACAGAAAAGATCAGATATGATCCAAAAATTGCAAATACAAATTCAGAAGAAAATAAAATTCAAATAAAGGTAAAAATTACATCATTAATCTTGGATCATGTTACTTCACACATCATGATTAGAATGGCTACAGATTACTGACTTAAGTGTAATAATGGTAATAAAAGTAATTGCTACAGCTATATGCACCAATAGCTCACTGAACTTACTATATGTCAGGCACAGTAATTAGTGCTTTACATTAATATTTCATTTAGTTTTCACAATAACCAACTTGAGGAAATATTAATATTATTTACATTTTACATATGAGGAAAGTGGAGGTCTACATGATTAAATGATTTGCCCAAGGTCACAGGGCTTGGGAATCAAGGGGACCTGACTCCATGTCTATCCTCTTAATCACAAAGTCAGCATCTAGCTCCCAGAATGCCTGTTTCCTTGCATGGTCTTATATGAGTCCTCTGAAGTCTCCAAAGCTCATTTCCTTTAGCTGTAAAATGGGAATAACATTAATATACACTAGGATTACTGAGAATTAATTAAGATAATTTAAGAGAAAGTACTGAGCAAGTCATGGAGCTATACACTGTTGCTTGTTATGTTACAGATGAAAACAACATTAAAAGTGAAAAAAAAAACCCTGCTAATTGGCTCTTGGTCAAAATTTTTCAAGAAAAATAGTATACTTAGGTAAACATTACTAATTGTTTTATCTTGTGACATGGTTTGGATCTGTGTCCCCACCCAAATCTCACTTTCAATTGTAATCCCCAATGTTAGAGGTGGTGCCTGGAGGGGGTAACTGGATAATGAGGCACTTTCTCATTATTTAACACGATCTCCCTCAGTGCTGTTGTTGCAATAGTGAGTTTCATGATATCTGGTTGTTTAAAAGCGTGTGGCACCTCCCTTCTTTCTCTCTTCCACCTGCTCCAGCCATGAGAAATGCTGGATTCCCCTTTGCCTTCTGCCATAATTATACATTTCCTGAGGCCTTCCTAAAAGCCAAGCAGATGCTTCCATGCTTCCTGTACAGCCTGCAGAACTGTGAGCAAATTAAGCCTCCTTTCTTTATAAACTACCCAGTCTTAGGTATTTCTTTACAGCAATGTGAGAACAGAACAGACTAGAACAGACTAATACATTTAAAGATTAGAACAGAGTAATACATCTTGTTTAGGTAAGACAGAAATTATTATATAAAGGCAAATGTGAATTAATATATTTATTATACAGAGACAGAGACAGAGAGAGATAAGCAGCAAGAGACCAAGCTGCTGAATAGTGAAACTAGGAATGCACCTTGAGATGGGTACCATGAAAAGTGTCATACCACTGGATTTGGTCTTTCTAAGAGCTCTTCAAAACTAAGGCTTCTTAAAATTACCTGGACTCATTAGCAAGTCTTAATTTACTGTGATTCATATATGTGTATTGATTTCTGGCAATATTTAATTCTCTAGACATAGAAAGGAAAAATAATATTCAAAAATGTCATCATTCATCATTTTAGATAAATTATTACTGGGAGTATTTTTTCCATAGGGCTTTGTGTTTTTAAAAATTATGTCATAAGTATCATGCCACTCAAGATCCTAAAACAAGTATTATTGAAAATTTGAGATCAGGAAACTAGAATTCAACAAGATTAATAGTGATAAGAAATCTATCTATATATGTTTTGTGTGTGTGTGCATGCATGTGTACATATGTTTGTGTGTCATACATTATGAGCACACAGGTGTCTCTCACTCTGGTTAAATATTAGAAAGCAGTAAAGTAGCCCCTCCTCTTCTTTAAAATTAGAGAAACGAATGAAGTACTACATCAAAAATTAGGGGGAGAAAGATTAGAAGTAATAAATGGTAAAAAAGTAGAAAACATCTCTAACACATACATAGGCCAATGTATGTGTTAAGAACATACTTCTCTTAAGAACATGAACTTGGTGTTTTACCTAGATTAGAACAAGAGGCAGTTTTTAGCAGACAGTGATGAACTGAATAACCCTTGTGCTTTGCTCCCACAGCGCCAGCTCAGACCACCACAAACAATGCCCCATCACCCCTTTGCTGGATTTCCTTTTCATCCCATCCCCATTTCCACCTCTGGGGAGCTATTCGGTATCTAGCTATTAGACTGTTGAAGAAACCAAGAACCTGGGATGATGTTGAGATGACCAGCACCTGGAATGGCTGCATGTTCTCAAAGGCTAATCACATCTTCCTGGGCTTTGTTAGTGAGTTGGAGTGTCACTACTCCTCACAGGACAATGACTATTTGTTTAACCTAAATAATCTGGTAACAACTCTAAGCCTCAGATAACTCGTCTGTAAAATGAACTAACTAGCTGATTTCTAAAGTGCTGAGACCTCTCCACTATAGGAGTTCTACATCCAACAGATGTTTTGTTTTCTATTTCCTGAGGCATGTGAATTTTTTGCATCTACTAGCTTTGCACTTTTCTTAATGTCTGTTTTGTTAATGATTTTAAAGAAAGTATATATAGCCAAAAGAAAAAAAAATAGGGAAAAAGGCCACTATAAATCCTATAGTCACTCTCAAGACTCTCACATCATTAAATGAGGAATAAAGGAGACTTTTAATTACATAAACCCACAAATATGCTAAGTTGCATTATCAAAAGTCTTTACTTGATTTTGTAAAAAGTAAGAACACTGTGAGAGTGTACAGTATTTGCAAGGTCCTACCTACCTCCTGGCCGTTCATGCTCTCCATCAGTGTGTAAAAGCATGGCAATGGGCATCCCTACGTTCTTGGATCTTCCAGCCACAACCACATTTTTTCCAAATGTTTGAATTCCTTAAAATACAGAGTTTGGTTTAAATGTAGAATTGACAACAAGAAGTAAAACAAACAATTGAACAGCCAGCTGAAACATTCTTTTAAAATTTTCTAATTAAATCTGAATTATTATGTGGCTTGTCTATAATATGACCACACTCATTATTTATAAATAATTCATTTTATGCTTCTTAGATTTGTCACTTCTTCTCTGATTATGTCCTCATTAAAAACCACAGACATTCTTCAGTTGCTATTAAGTTACTTTTAAACATTGAGATTCACATTAAGAGTTAGAAGTGTAGAATCTTAACATATATTAAATGCTAATTATAAAATAACCAAACTACAGCAATGTCACACTTAATTGGCAATCAAACTTTGAGCAATGCTGGGACAAAACAAGTGAAAAAAGAGGCATTTTTCACAAAGCGCATGCCTTTTACTTCATAGGAAAGAAACGCTAAACTTACAGACATAGAAAGATGTAAAAAATAAAACCCACAGATTTAACACATTCTACTTCTTTTGGACTCATTTTTTCACAAGTAAAACAAAGAAGTTAGAACTAAGGACTTTCCAACACTAACACTGTAAGAGTATGAATACAAGATCTGTTTTCCATTGGAAGTTTTTCTTTCTCAGAAAATGGCAGATTAGAAAGGAGAAAATGCCACCAAAAATAGAAGGAACAGTGATGGAGGTAGGAAAATCATCAATATATAAGGCAATTTGGGGTCAATTAATGTAGACGTAAACATCTCTATATACTATAAGAGTCTGTGAGAACATTACTGAATCCAGCACAGTACATGTTAAATGTTTAAGATGAAAACCAAGCCAACAGAAATGATAACAATGAGATCATCACATATTTTGAAAGGTAAAGAAAAATATATTTTAGAAAAGTTTCTATCAAAAGGCATGAAGTTTCTATTTTAAAGGTAGACGTACACCACTACTGTGTGGAAAATTCACTTCCTCTAAGTTGCAACTGCAGTTAGCTATAACCTGGAAAATGTTCTTCATTTTATTTTATTTTGAATTATGTTTTGACTTCTACAACTTTACATCTCTCTATATACTGATGCATTATGACTTAATCATTTTCTGTCACCCTATAGGGCTGAGGTGGCCCCATCAAGTCTCAGTGCAGAAATGCTCAGCTCAGCACCTAGCACCCATTTCCTGCAGACCACAAGTTACCAACCTGTTCTTGTTATTATTTCCCAAACAGCACTGGCAGTGGCAGGTATGAGAGAATGCTGGTCAAGGCACAATCTTCCAATATTGATAATATGAAATCCATCAACATCTTTTTCTGGGGCAATTCCATTGCATATCATTCGTTCATCAACATGGTCTGAAAAATAAATAAAATTTGTCTAATTTTTAAACTGTTACTTATTTGGTAGCCTGGAAAATGAAATCTGGGAATCTAAAGGCACATGACTTATAATTCAGCTCCAAGAAAGGTGTAATCATTATTATTATTTGCCACAAAAATAGTAAGCAAAAGTCTGAGTGACCGATGGCTAGAATGAACTGCAGTTGTAATATATGCTATTACAGAACCAAAAGTGGCTAGATCGGCTGAAAGAAAAAATGTGTGAATTAAACAATCCCAATGAGATCTGGTAATAGCCAGGTGTTATGTCTTTGCTTCACTGTTTGTATATTTAGAGGGTTTAAATCCACATTTATCTGATGTGAGACAGTTTTACTAAATTAAATACTTTGAGCACTGCAGATTAAAGGGGTTTGTTAGTGTTAAGAATAGTCATAACATCATTAGTTCTTAGCTTCCTCTTAAATGATAACAAAAGCGCAAATAGAAAACATGCCTCACACATACATACATACATACATACACACACACACATTTCTCTAAAGCACTGGCATAGTGAAATCAAAATATTACTATGATTTGCTAGATGGAAGAAAAAGAACACAACCTGAGTAATAAACTAATCAAATGAAGTATGGGATGCAAATCATCTCATTTTTCAAAGTCAGTATAGAAATATAAAATAGGCACCTATTACTCTAAGCAGAGTACTTTAAATTACCACTAACCTAACAATTAATCCATGTGCCTAACATATTAAAAGTATATTTTCTACATAAAGCTTATTTGGCCATTGTATTATGCCATTTAGACATAATTCTTTAAAACATTATAAAAGCCCAAGTTCAAACTTTCAGAAAGCTATGCCTTGGGTTTTATACCTTTTGTATTCTGAAAGTATGCTGCTGCACCTTACTTTAAGTTGAGTCAATTAACCATAAGTAGACTACCAAAGTCCTTTAAATATATAAAAGTATTCATTTGAATCATATTCAAATAGAAACTGAGTCTTTGGACCATCTCTTCAATCAATAGTTTTTCCCTTTCAATAACTGCATTCAGTCTATAATGTTTTAGCAGGGCCTCCACTTATTTTCTATATAGCTAGAAGATCATAATATAGATTCTAGTCGGACTTTTAAAATAATACATATTTAACTTACTACATGAGGGTACATATAGTCATTCTTTTTAAAAAAAATTATAGATGATGATGATGATAAGTCATTTTAAATCACCTACCACTCATGCAGAATCTTCATAACATGAATATTTTTTAAAATGAAATCAAAAGCTTTATATATTTGAAAAGAAAAACAACTATATTTGAAGTATCTATTTTTTTTAGCTAGGACTCAAATTAATTTATTTCTAAGTTCAAAATTAGCTAATCTATGCATGGGCTGCACTACTGATTGAAAAGAACTCAACAAGGACTCTTTGTATATTTTAAGAGCCATTCTCCAAACAATAAGCCTGAATTACACCGAATTTTGCCAACTACTGTTGTGCTCCCATTCGCTGAAAATAACATTAAAGCTCTAACAAATAATTCATCTCACACACCAGCTAAAATACTTGAGAAGAAATGTAAGCATCTGAAAATTTGGAAGCCAGAACTAGAGACTGATGGTTACAGATCTGTCCTCTTGTACCTGTAAACTTCAACTCAGATAATAATTCAGATCACGACTTTTGTCTTAAGAATTTATGTATTAGTAGTTTAAAAGACAGATGTGTGGACATACAAAAGGTAAAGCAGATTCATAAAACCTGAATCTAAAAGGGAAAGAGCATCATATGAGTAGATTTTTGAAAAGTGAGGATCACAAAAATCAAGAAAATCAATTCATTTATCATTTTTATATAACTGTTATCTCAGCAGTATATTAAATCTAATATATATCTTTTTCCAGGAGATATCTATATTTTATTATGTAGTGTACATTATATAGCAATAATCTGAAGTCCTATATCTAACATTTAAAAAGTGCTTTACAATGATTATATCACCATTACATCAATTTCCCTTCAATCTTCATAGTTACTGGGGACTAAGGTAGAAAAGGTATGATCATGCCCATTTTAAAGACAAGCTCAAGGAGTTTGAGTCAATCTCAAGCCACTACAAAGAATCCAGAGTTTAAATCCATATCTTTTGGCTCTAAAATCAGTTTTTCCTTTTGTATCATATAGACATAATAATAAATATTAATCACTTTAAATACCATTCAAAAATTGAAATCAGAAAGGCCTCCCTCCCAACTCCTAGCAAGACATTTGATAACTCTAAAATATCCCAAGAAATGTACCGTTTCTCCTAGGGCTCCAACTATAACACTATTCCTAGATTAAGTAATACATGCCTAAGCACATGCAAAAAAGCATCAAACATTTTACAGGTAATCCTACTTCTTTTTGTTGTATGAGTAAGAGAAATAAATACATTTCCTGTTTTTGAATGACTGCTACTAAAAGTTTCCCAAAAATCTCACCCTTGGGGCACATGACTTGCGCAGAAAAAAAGAATCATGAGACCATTGCATCAATTTTCCCACAATGATTATACAACATTTTTGATTCACAGAATACATTGGTAAACAACAAACCACTTAACATCTGACACAAATGAATGGTAAAACTGGTATTATTCACTTTGTGTTTTTCCCCCTTCTATTTAAGGTTATGAGAAATCATTAAATTATGCTAGGGAAAAAAGAAGTCATCAAATTAAAATCTGAACACTACAATAAAACAGCTCAGATAATGCCTTTAGGAAGCTCACTGTAGATTTATTACACTGAATATATATGTACTGTATACTACATAATAAAAAGTAGATCTCTCTCTCTCTCTCTCCATATATATATATATATATATATATATATATATATATATAATTTCCTTCTTCTGAATTTGAGTGCGTGTGTGTGTGTGTGTGCACGTGTGCATGGAGAGAGAGAGAGAGAGACTCACTCTGTCGCCCAGGCTGGAGTGCAGTGGCATGATCTTGGCTCACTGCAACCTCCACCTCCCAGATCCAAGTGATTCTTCTGCCTCAGCCTCCTGAGTAGCTAGGATTTCAAGCATGCACCACTTCATGTGGCTAAATTTTTGTGTTTATAGTAGAGATGGGGATTCACCATATTGGCCAGGCTGGTCTTGAACTCCTGATCTCATGATACCCCAGCCTCAGCCTACCAAAGTGCTGGGATTACAGGTGTGAGCCACATGCCTGGCCACTGCATATATATTTTTGTGATTTATTTGTAATATGCTTAACTGCTTTTGGACAATAAATGAAAAAAAAAAAGGAACAAACAAATTACTGGCTTACTTTCCACCTACATATTTTTACAACATTACTGTTTAAAAATATCACCTTTCACTTCCCCCAAATCTGTTGGGTAAGTGCAAAGCTCATCAGTATAGTAAATATTGTGTCCTCTAGTTTTATTCTTTATCCTACAGTCCCTTCTCTATGTGTTCCATATCTTTACCAACCATCATCACACACCTTCTACTCTAATCAGAACAAACCATGTCCATTCCCCAAGCCCTTAGCATTAACTTCTGCATTGCTATTGCTCATGATGAATTTTTTTCACTGGTAATCCTTTCCTCTTGGTTTTTTGTCAACCTATCCATTCTTCAATGCATTGATCAATTGCCCCCCATTGAAATGATCACAAATTGAAATGACACTTTTTTCTTCTGCTCTCCCATGGAACCGCTATAAAAAAAATACTTAGCATGCTAGTTCAGTTAGTTAATGATATTAGTTGTTTTATTATCCTTATCATTTCCTTCTTCCTAATGTGAGCCTTTTAGGACAGTCTTTGTCTTAAACTGATTCACTTATAAGTACTCTACCTCAGTTGAATGGTGTAAAAAATATATATATATTGGGCTCCTAAAATCACTAAGCTAAAGGTAAAATTCAAACTGGGAACTGCTCGGGGCAAATCTGCCTCCCATGACTAATCAAAGTCATCCCTCTGCTCACTGAGAAAGATGCATGTTCTGATTGCCTCCTTTGGAAAGGCTTTTCAGAAACTCAAAAGAATAGAGCCATTTTTCTCTCACCTACCTGTGACCTGGAAGACTCCTCCCCAGCTTCAAATTGTCCCCATCAATCTGGATGGAATCAATGTACTTCTTACATATGTTGATTGATGTCTCATATCCCCCTAAAATGTATAAAACCAAGCTGTGGCCAAACCACCTTGGGCATATATTGCCAGGACTCTGAGGTTGTGTCATGGGTGTGCATCTTCAACCTTGGCAAAATAAACTCAGATTTGTCTCAAATTTTGGGGGTTCACAATGAAACCCCCAAAATAGAAGTAGCATCCTCTATGCTACTTGCCAAGAAAACCTGGAGTCATCTTAAACATCCCTCTTTCACTCATGCCTAACATCCAAACCACTGGAAAATCCGTTGGCTTTCTTCATAATAATAATAATATTATGCTAATAATATAAAATGCTAATAATACATCTAGCATTTTATCAGTCTCACCATGTTCATGATACTACTCTGTTTTGAGTGAACATTATTCTTCTTGTCAATTCTTGAAACAGACTCCTAATAGTTGCCTTCTTCTATATGTGCAACCATACAACTTATTCACAAAACAGCAATAAGGTTACACCTTGAAATGCATATTTGACCACACTGCTTTTCTCAAAACCCTGCAATGTTATTACCTTAACAATTGCAAACTAGGTTCTACATGATTGACACTACACCCAAACCAAAGCTATGTGTCTAATCCCATCACTGGTTACTCTCCTCTTTTCTCAATCTACGAGCACCAAGCTGGTCCCCTTGATGTCCCTTGAAAACATAAGGCATTTTGCCACCTTAACTATAGCTTTGTGTCTGCCTGGAAGGCTTTTCTAAAGAAAAATTGTCACCTAGGCTAAATCCCTCCTTTCTTTCAAATATTTTCTTAAATACCACATTCTCAGTGTTAAAATAAAACTTCAGTGGAATTAAATTTAAAGATGTT